CATACAGCAGGGTGGGGATCACAACTGCTTGATAAACCATAAGCTTGGTTTCGGATCTGATGGTGCAATCTTCAAACACCCATTTCTTCAGGCATCCAAAGGCTGCACTTGCACATTTGAGGCAATGCTGGATTTCTTCAATGTCAGCCTTCTGTGAGAGATGGCTTCTGAGGTACATCCTCCAGAGTCTCACCCTGGATCTGGATTACCGGAGCTGGAGACTGTTCCGTAGGAGCTTGTTGGTAGAGGACCTTAGTCTTCTGAATGTTAAGCGTCAGTCCCATTTTCTTGCATGTGTTGGTAAAAATGGTGACAATTCCTGCTTCCAAGTGAGTGCACAGTACAGCATCATCAGCGTACTGGAGCTCATTAATTGTGATCAGGGTGGTCTTGGTTTCGGCTTCGAGTCAGCTTACTATGCATATCCATTTGATGGTTTAGCTCCAGTCCAGCTGGAAGCTTGTTGGTGGTCAGCTGTAACATTGCAACAAGGCATATTGAGAAGGATGTTGGAGCAATGATGCAGCCTTGCTTAACTGCCATTTTAACCTCGAAGGGATCTGTGATAGATCCATTACTGAGAACCACTGCTGGCACACTGTCATGGTGACAAATTTCAGTGGGCATTCATACTTCAGAAGGATCCTCCACAACACTTCTTGGCTGACAGTCTAAAGGAGTGGTCACCAACTGGTTGATACCTTGACTAGCCGATTGAGGAGCCTCTTGAGGTCAATCTGAGGCTAGGGGGGCTGAGTGTGTGCATGCATGCATGTGCACGCCACCCCCAGTCCAGCAGGTCAGTCTGTGGGGGAGGGAAGAGGCAGGGGCCAGACTGAGGCCCTTGCGGTGAGGGACAGAGTACAGCAGAGGCAGGAGCAGGCGTTAAGGTGCATGGGGGCCTGGCCTGGGAGGTGGATTGAGGTTGGGCACCTCATCCAGGGGTGTGGAGGGGCTTCCACCCTTGTGCGCACCCCAGCAGAGGCCCTATGGGACATATGCCACCCCCATTTGTGTGCAGCAGAGGTGGCTGCTGTTGCAGGCTGGGCTTTGTGCCCCAAGCCCTGCTGAAGCTGGCCTGGGAGCAGCCCGATGCCATGCACACCCACCACCAGGCGGACAGGGGACGAGGCTCAGCCCAGCAGCGGGATGCATGTGGCATTGAGCCACTACCAAGCTAGCTGCAGCGGGGCTTGGGGCACAAAGCCCAGCCTGCAACAGTAGCCACTTCTGCTGCACACAGATGGGGGGGGCACGTAACCCCCAAAATGTTGGGTAGTGCGGGCGGCTGCAGCAACTGTGAAGGGGGTGTGGGGTTGGGGCTGAGGTGGGCCCTGCCCAGCCAAGGCAGGGGATGGAGCTGCAAGTGGCTTGTCCAGAGAGGTGCGGGGATTGGGGGGG